AGAGCCCGGCCGGGGCTCCGCTTTCCCCACCGGCCAGAGCGCTGGGAGGAGGGCGGAGAGCCCGGCCGGGGCTCCGCTTTCCCCACCGGCCAGAGCGCCGGGAGGAGGGCGGAGAGCCCGGCCGGGGCTCCGCTCTCCCCGGCGGCTGGAGCGCCGGGGGAGGGCGGCGAGCCTGCTGCAGCTCCGCTCTCCCCAGCGGCCGGAGCGCTGCGGGGAGGGCGGTGAGCTCAGTCGTGGCCCCGCTCTCCCCGGCGGCCAGAGCGCCGGGGGAGGGCGTCGACCCACTGCGGCTCCGTTCTCCCCGGCGGCCGGAGCCGGAGCACCGCACCGCGCCGCCCCCTCCAGGTGCCACCCCAAGCACAAGCTTGGTGGGCTGGTGCCTGGAGCCGGCCCTGGGTGTAAGGTGGAAAGAAAGTTGTGCAGTACTGGACATGACTGTGTCATTCACTGTGTATTACAGGGCGTTTCACACGACACTTGAATATTATTTCCATCAATGCTTTTGATGATGACGTTTTAACCAAGATTTTCTCTTCAATTGTTGACTGGCATTTCAGCAAAGGATTTGAAGCTGTATTTACAAGGTAATGGTGATATGTTTCCTGAGACTATTTTACAGAGAACATATTGTCTCAGATCTTTCATTTGCATGCCTCACAATTAAATTCACCTTTCTCTTCTTTTTATTTATTTTTTAAGGCTTGGCAAGATGATAATCCAAGCGACAATGGCTATTTATAAAATGGCTGTCGAGAATTTTCTTCCAACTCCTTCAAAATCCCATTACGTCTTTAATCTGCGTGATTTCTCCCGTGTTGTTAGAGGAGTGCTGTTGTGTCCACACACCCATTTACAAGTAGGCTGCTATTTAACTATTCATAAAACGATAGTTAAAAAAATAAAGTATTAAAGCTAAATTCTCTTCACTAACATGCACTGTAATTTTAATAGGTTTGCATGCATATAACTGAGAGCAGGATTGGGCCTGAATATTTTGCTGTGCACTTTCCTCCTTCCTCTTGATTAAGAAAAACGTTCAGATATTATTAATTTGCTTGTATTACAGTAACTGGTAGATCAGGGCCCTGATGTGTTTGGCCCTGTAATATCCATAGTAGGAGACAGTCCCTACCCCTGAACTTGTTACCTAACTAGACAAGACAAAGGAAGAAGAGAGAAGAGAAGGATTATTATCCCCATTTTACAGATGAGGGAGCTGATGCACAAAGAGGTTGAAAAGCTTGGCCCCCAAAAACATATCTTGCTATTAGCTGATGATGGAAGTTTCTATGTAATATAAAGAAGCCAAACAAAGCTATTAAGCAAGTTAGGGAACATTCTCATCCCTTTTCACTGGGTAAAAGGGCTAGTGGCATAAAGTGGTGTAGCGAAGCGAGACTCACCACCAGCGGCACCTCCTGCTGGTCGTTCTGGGAATTAGCTCTTTTCCAGCCTGGAGCACCCGCTGCAGGCCGGTGTCTCGCCTGCCGCTGGCCCCGTGTCCCTCCCAGAGCCCCTTTCCCTGGGGTTCTGCCCTCCATAGTAACCCTGCTCTGGGTCTCCCCTCCCAGGGGAACCCCCAACCTCCTATCCCCACCTTGCCTCAGTGGCTACTGCCAGTCACCACCTAGCCCCCGCTCACTGGGGCAGACTGTAGTCTGTAAACCACTCATCACTGACAGAGGGGGTTTGGACCTGCTGCCTTTGCCTAACCCCAGGCTACACCTCTGTAGGCCTTGCACAGGGCCTGCAGCCTGGGGAATTGCCAGGTTGGAGCTCCCCAGCTCCTTTGCCCTATTCCCCAGCACTACACTACTCAGGTCCCCTTCTCTCTCTACAACTAGAGAGAGATTGCCTTAGCTCCTGGCTCACAGCCCTTTTATAGGGCTAGCTGTGGCCTGATTGGGGTGTGGCCCCAGCTGTGGCTGCTTCCCCAATCAGCCTAGCCTTTTCTCTAGGAGCGCAGTTGTTGCCCTACTACAAGTGGCCATAAAAACCCTTGATCTAGCCAGGGGAGAGTTCTTCTGGCGCAGGAACTGAGAAAGACAGTTGCAGCTGTCCTCTAAGGATCTCTGTGCCAGCTTTGATATAGCAAGCCTGCAGGGGGCACTATTGGGGCAGGAGGGGTGTGTCAGGATGGGGACCTTTGTTAATGTTACTACGGGGGTGGGAGTTATGCATGTTAATCCTTATTCCTTGAGATGAGAATGTACTCCGGACTAAACTGCTTTCAGAGAGACATGGATTTCACCCCAATTGTTTATTGCTCTATGGAAGGATTGCTCCTAAAAACCCGTGTCATGAGTCACACGTCCTTTGTTCATTGCCACTGGTATTATTCTAAAATATGAAAAATCATCATAAAGTCCTCCAAAGATAAACACCCTTGATGTAACAATAGTTAAGTGCTTTGTGAGCAGAGGCCAAAACTGTATTGACAGGAAAGTTATGACACAATCATTACGTACTGAGGAAGCCAGTTGACCCATTTGCTTGCACTCTCACAACTGAAAGACTCCCATTGACTTTAGTGAGAGGTGGATCAGGCCTTAAATGGAGATCTGACTACTTTGTTATGAAACAAGTGCTGCCCGTTAAATGTTGATCTATTCATTTATATCTGCTTTTACAGGATGGGGATAAGCTGATCAGACTTTGGATCCATGAAGTTTATCGAGTTTTCTATGACCGCTTAATTGACAATGATGACAGGGAGATGTTCTTTAAGATGGTAAAAGAAACAACATCAAACAACTTCAAGCAGAGTGTTGATAAGGTACACTGGCTTATACACTGAGAACAGTTTGGATAGGTAGATGGGACTGACAAATTTACAAAACTAATTCAACACTTCAGATATACTGTAGCAATATTAGAAAACAATTTGAACCGTCTCCATTGGTGCACCCTCAATAGGCAAGTTAGGGATCTCATCCTGCAAATTACTCTTTGCAGGTGGACTCCTGACTTGAGTGGGGCTCTCTCCAGGGGCAGGAGATCGCCTGGAATGAGTAACTGGCAGGACTGGGGCTGAGGTAGTTAGCCATGCTGTTATTTGATTTGTGCATATTTGGAAGGGTCCATACATGCTGTGGGTATATTATTAGGCTTTTTGGAAACTTGGACATATACTGGACAGTGAAATCAGAATGCCCATATTTTGAGGTATGCATATCTGAAAAACATTTCAGCATACATTGTTTTGCTTTTTTTGGTCTAAAATAATATACTGGAACAGCTGGAAGATAGCATTTCCACAGCAGTAGGACCTACTACTGTGTGGATATGGATGAGTATTTCTTTAGAGAAAAAATAGAGTCTGAATTATCAGTTGAATCTTGTCTTTTGCATAGGTACTGAGTCATCTGTCACCTACTGGCAAGATCACCGATAATAATATCCGCAGCCTCTTCTTTGGAGACTACTTTAAACCAGAAAGTGATGTAAAAGCCTATGATGAAATCACAGACTTAAAGCAACTGACAACCGTGATGGAATATTACCTTGATGAGTACAACAATATCAGCAAGGCTCCAATGTCCTTGGTCATGTTTAAGTTTGCCATCGAGCATATCTCAAGGATATGCAGAGTACTGAAACAGGACAATGGTCATTTGCTTTTGGTGGGAATTGGTGGGAGTGGGCGACAAAGTGCTACCAAGCTGGCCACCTTCATGAATGCTTTTGAGCTTTTTCAGATTGAAATCACGAAGTCCTATGGCAACAACGAATGGAAGGAGGATGTGAAACGAATCATGCTGCAGACTGGCGTCAGTAACAAAGATGTGTCTTTTTTGTTCTGTGACAATCAAATAAAGGACGAGTCATTTGTGGAGGATATTAACATGCTTTTAAATACAGGTGATGTGCCTAATATCTTCGCAGCAGATGAGAAGGCTGACATTGTTGAGAAAATGCAGGCTGCAGCAAGGACGGAAGGCAGGAAAATCGAGGCTACTCCACTTGCTATGTACAACTTCTTTATTGAAAGAGTGAAGAAAAATTTACATATTGTCTTAGGTCTGTATATAACGCACAATGTCTTATTCTAAATCTTTCTGCCTCTTAACTGTTGGTGGACTTCAGAACAATATGCATTCTTTCCAGCAATGAGTCCAATTGGAGATGCATTCCGGAATCGACTACGAATGTTCCCTTCGCTGATAAACTGCTGCACCATTGACTGGTTCCAGACCTGGCCCACTGATGCTTTGGAAATGGTTGCAAACAAGTTTTTGGAGGATGTCGAACTCGAAGATGAAATTAGAAAAGCGTATGTGTTTATTTGTCAAGAGGGTTCTGAAGCTGATAATCACATCTCCAGCTGAAGCATCATATACGGATAACATCACAGCTATGTGATGCTTCAGCTGAAGATGTGGTTATCAGCTTCAGCTCAAAATGTCAACATACCCTTAGTTACAAGAGTGCAACTCCATTGATGTTTTTACAGGGTGACACTGGCCCTGTAAGACTGGTCATTTCACCCATAGATGGGGCTTAAAAGAGGACACCTGGGCTCTAGAGCCAAGGGGGGATAGACCTTGTGAGTCAGAACTGCCTTAGAGTGCAGATGGAGTCAGTCAGGAAAAGGGCAGGTGAGAGCTGCCTGAGGGGTCTCTGAAAGGGGCCACAGGACCCTCTGTTGCTTTTTACAGATTCAGACTAACACGGCTACCCCTCTGATACTTGACGATATGTATATTCAGTACCTCTGAAAATCCTCTCTGAGAAGAGAATTTAGCTCAGTATATTTTAAATAATGGGCTAAATTTTTCTCTCAGTAACACCAATATAATTTCATTGACTTCTGTGTAGTTATTTTGGATTTACATTGGAGTAACCAAGAGCAGACTTTGACTCCATGGTTTTAGATGCTAATAGAAATAACCAAACAGTTAGTAGGACACAAAATTGCGAGGATTAATATAAAGAGATATTTTCATTCATATTAATATGTAAGATTTTCCATAGGGTTGTGTCAATGTGCAAATATTTTCAAGAAAGTGTGAGAGAGCTCTCTGTCAGCTATTACAGCACACTGCGAAGACACAACTATGTAACACCAACATCTTATCTGGAACTGATTCTCACCTTTAAGGCTCTACTAAATAGCAAGAGGCAAGAAGTTGACATGATGAGAAATCGTTATCTTGTGGGTCTTCAAAAACTTGAATTTGCATCTTCACAAGTAAGTTTAGACAGAAAACTTGAAGAATATTTTTTAACATAGCATATGGTTAATTTAGCACACCGCGTCCGCTAACGCTAATGAGAGTTGCAAACTTAATTCTCTGTTCACAGTTGTGTTAATAATTTTCCTCTTAAAAGCCACCAGCAAATCTGAGATTCTTGCTTAGCTATTTTAAGAAACTGTGGCATGTAACTTCAGAGTAGATCTCCTAATCTAAGATTGAATGGAGTAAATGCTACTTAACCAAACATGTTGGAAAAATTTTGTTAAGTTCAAGTAACATTATAGTTTTCTCAGAGCCCCAGCTGAAGAATCTCTGGTAGCATAGTTTCTTCAAGAGCTTTCGTGACATTGGCTGTGCATGCCTATGCCTATTCCTCCTTTCAAAATGGGAAGAAGATGCAGAAAGGGAGTTTGGGGGGAGGGATACCTCAGTGGTTTGAGCATTGGCCTGCTAAACCCAGGGTTGTGAGTTTAATCCTTGAGTGGGCCACTTGGGGATCTGGGGCAAAATAAGTACTTGGTCCTACTAGTGAAGGCAGGGGGCTGGACTCGCTGACCTGTCAAGGTCCCTTCCAGTTCTAGGAGATGGGATATCTCCATTAATTATTATTACTGTTGCATGAATGAGCATTACCTTTTGAGGAGATTTGCACTAGGAAATCCACCAAGCCCCCAACTCTACAGCTTCCCAGCTCTTCTTCCTGCTACTCCTGGAACAGACCCTGGCAAAACAAAGGAACTTCCTACTTCTGGGCATTTCCCTAGTAGAGGAGAGTACCCCAAGGATCTGCTGCTATTCCCACTTCTGTATCCCTTGCCTGGTTTATGCTGGATTTCATTCTCATCCATGCATGTAAATGGAGGGAAGCATTGGGGTACACCAGCTGACTATAAGAAAAGCAAAACTGATCAGTTTATTTTCAGTGTCCAGGCTGAGTGAATTGCAAAAAGTAAAGACATTACAAATATGAAAAAAACATTAGATTTTTAAAATCTGCTTCAGTTTTAACAGGAGGAGATCTCAGTAAAATAGGCAAGAAGGCTACTTTTTAAAATGTGATTTGTATGCTGAGTGTCCTTTTTTAAATTGTACTATGTGTCATAACATCTTTACCATTTTCTACCTATCACATTGAGACAGGAAATACACATGAAAATTACCAGGATTTCTCTCATTTGATATCTTCACTAGGTTGCAGAAATGCAGAAGGAGCTGACTGCCCTTCAGCCTGAACTAATTCAAACCTCTGCAGAAACAGAGAAAATGATGATCCAGATAGAAAAAGAAACGATTGAAGTAGATGCAAAGAAGGAGCTAGTATCTGCAGATGAAAAGGAGGCTAATGATGCTGCAGCTGTTTCCAAAGCTATTAAGGTAGTTTACAAGGGTCTGTCCCTGTGAGGTACTGAATGTGTCTCAACTCCCGTCAAAGTAAATGGAGGTTGAGGAGATAGATGCAAAGTACTTTACAGGTGAGGCCCAAGTTCCTAACAATGCAATTAAAAAAAACAAAAACATGAGAGATGATGATTGAGATGTTAATAATGTTAACAAATGTTACCCTGGCTGTATTTAGTGATGGCCAGATACTAAGTCTACAGTGCTCCCAGAATTCCTTTTTCCAGTCCTGACTTTAACATGCATCTTGCACACATAATTCAAGATCTCAGATCTTCCTGAAAGAGAAAGTTAGTCCCCTTATGCAGCTGAGTAAAGAAAGAGATGGACCTAAATTCATGGGCGGGGTATGTTTCCAGGATTGTTATTTATCTGGAATAAGTCTCATCCTCTGCATAAAGCCCCAGTAAACAGGTTTTATATAGAGGCCCTATAAAGGGTTTGGGGGGATGGAGAAATCTCTTCCCCACAGTTTATGTGGGGCATAGTGCAGTTACTCTGTGGCTGCTATATGCAGACAGGAGCCATAGTCTCTAAGCTGGAGCAGCAGGTTATGATATGCCAAGCCCACCGCTTTATGTGGGGCTTATGGTCTTATGGTATTTTCAGTTTGTGGACACATGACTATGCCATGTCACTCTGTCAGCCAATCCATAGCCCCACTCCGCACTCTGTGCTAGTGTTTCTGAATTCTACAGCATGTAGGAGTAGCTTCTCAGACCTCCATTTCCCATGCACTGGGACTGCAGTAGCTCTAAAGCATTGGGGCCTTCTACAGACCCTAGAATTTCACCTTTAGTCTCTTGTCTACAATGCAGTTAGACACCTGCAGCTGGCCTGTGCCCACTGACTCAAGCTCACATGGCTTGCGATATGAGGCTGTTTAATTGTGGTGTAGATGTTCGGGCTCGGGCTGCAGCCTGAACTCTGGGGCCTTCCGACCTCACAGGGTCATAGAGCTCAGGCTCCAGCCCAAGCACAAACATCTACACTGCAATTAAACAGCCCCTTAGCCTGAGCACGACAAGCCTGATTCAGCTGACTCGGGCCAGCCGCGGCTTTTTAATTGTGGTATAGACATACCCTTGGTGCTAGCAGACAGGCCCACAAAACAGGTTGTCTTGTTACAATGTTGCCCAGCAAGCCTAATGTTCCATTCACTCTAATGAATGTAGCAGAAAAGCAAGATATGTGCTTTACACGGATGAGATTAAGTCTTGGACAATAGGAGATGAGGTGTCCCAACATCGTATCCCATCATCCTGTTGGAAACTGTCCTGCAGTGCTTTGTGTGTGACATTCTTGTATAGGGACTTGCAAGTCATTAATCCAGAACCCTGTATCCATACTACTGGGGAATGAGATGGTCATGAAAAAATTATGATTATTTATATTATGATAGTAACCCAGGAGCCTCAGTCATGGGCCAGGACCAAACATCCTCAGAGGGAATATCTCCATGACCAAATGTCGGTGGCACAAAGACCTCCATGAGAGATTGTGAGACTCTCCAGCACTGTCTCAACTATTGCAGAAATGCAAAACATATACAACTGCTGGTACCTGGGGTTCTCGCTGAAGTTATTGCTCTATGCTGCATTCTGCTGTAATAGTAACATGCACATGGTAAAAGAAATGAGCTGCTCAGCACGCTTCTGATGTCCCATGATTCTGTGACGCTTCCCCACCCCTCATCCCCAGTTCTCAGTACCTGCAACAGGTCAGCAGAAGTATGTTGAAGATGTTTAAATAGTGAAATGGAGATATCCCTTGGGCCTTCAACTGTAAAAAGGAACATGGTGGTGAGATGCAGTTAAAATGACTGTGTATAGAGTAATACACTAAACTGTCAGGACAGATAATTAAAATAGTTATTTCTGCTTGAAATGTACTGCTATGTGCATTTTTCCTCGTTAATTATAACTGCAAATGGTTCACTAATGCCACATTAGCATCTCTCAGCTCATGTCAGTCAGTTTACAATAGACTGTGCAACTCAAAGGGTTAAAGTATTCTGTTCAATGTATTTGCAGGAAGAGTGTGAAGGGGACCTTGCAGAGGCCATGCCAGCTCTAGAGGCTGCACTCTCAGCTCTTGATACCTTGAACCCCTCAGACATCTCGCTTGTCAAAGCCATGCAGAATCCACCAGGCCCTGTCAAGCTTGTTATGGAGAGTATCTGTGTAATGAAAGGAATGAAACCAGAGAGAAAGCCTGATCCAAGTGGCAGCGGTAATAATACCATTGTGAAAGCTTAGGGACTGTTTGTGTCATCTGTGTCCTAGCTGAGACACAGTCACCTATTCTGCTTTACATTCACACCGAGCTAAGATTTGCAGATGCAGGAAGGATGCCTCAGAGAGCTCTGGTGGAGCATGCTGCACTATTGTACCTTACACCTGCATGCTCCCCTCCAGCGCCACCTGCCAAACACTACCAAGCATGTAGGGGAGGCAGAATCCAGGCTATGCCATACTTCTAGATAACCACTCCTGTTGGACCTGTGGAGCATCACTAGTCATGCTAGCCAGCCTTTTGCACAGGGGGATTAATAGGATTAGTATTGTGTCACACATAAGCATACTGGATGGAAGAGGGGAAGAGATGCCTTTTACCACCTTCTCCCCATCTAGTGTACCCACAATTTATCCCTTAATAATTAGGAATTAATAGCTATAAATATTGCTTTTATTATGTAAATTAGGAAGGAAATCCTCAGAATAGGATTTATTTAATAGAAGTCAACCACGAAAAACTTCTATAACCATTTGTTTCTCTCTCCCTTTGCTTTTGGCAGATTAAAATTAAAATTGTTGTATCGTTAATGTACATGCCTACTAAATTTCAGTTCAACACAGATTAATGATGCTGTGTCCTTTATTTGAATTTTAATATGTAAGCATTTTTCTAAAATTTGTTAACTGCATCTGTATGGCACAAACCTACAGCAAGATAATTAGTATTAGCTTTTTCGTGTCAGTGTTTAAAGTATTTTAATTTTGAATACCTCTGATTTAAGCCTGATTTGATTTATGTGCAATACAGGTAAAATGATAGAAGACTATTGGGGAATCTCTAGAAAGCTTCTAGGAGATCTGAAATTCCTTGAAAGCTTAAAGACATACGACAAGGATAATATTCCTCCTGCTGTAATGAAGAGGATCAGAGAGAGGTTTATTGAGCATCCAGATTTTCAGCCGGCTGTCATAAAAAATGTGTCATCAGCCTGTGAAGGCTTATGCAAATGGGTGAGAGCCATGGAGGTGTATGACCGTGTAGCTAAAGTGGTTGCTCCAAAACGTGAGCGTCTTAAGGAGGCGGAAGGTTTACTTGAAATTCAAATGAAAAAGCTAAATACAAAGCGTGCAGAACTTAAGGATGTAATGGACCGTCTCCAAGCTTTGAACGATGAATTTGAAAGCATGAATAACCGGAAGAAAGAATTAGAAAACAACATTGAAATCTGTTCACAAAAGCTGGTAAGAGCTGAAAAGCTGATTAGTGGACTTGGAGGAGAGAAAGATAGGTGGACAGAAGCTGCACGATTGTTGGGAATCCGATACACAGATCTTACTGGTGATGTTTTGTTATCTTCAGGAACAGTGGCTTATTTGGGAGCCTTTACTGTAGACTATCGCCTTGAATGCCAAAAGCAATGGCAGGCCCTATGCAAGGAGAAGCATGTACCATGTTCCAATGATTTTAGCCTCAGTAATACTTTAGGGGATCCTGTCAAAATCCGTGCCTGGCAGATTGCTGGATTGCCAATTGATTCATTTTCAATTGATAATGGTATAATTGTTTCTAACTCAAGAAGATGGGCTTTAATGATTGATCCTCAAAGGCAAGCCAACAAGTGGATAAAAAATATGGAGAAAGCTAATAAGCTTTCGGTTATCAAACTGTCTGATACGAACTATGTGAGGATACTGGAAAATGCTATCCAGTTTGGAACACCAGTCTTGCTTGAAAATATTGATGAAGAACTAGATGCTTTCATAGAGCCTATATTGCTAAAGCTAACATTCAAGCAACAAGGTGTGGAATACATGAGGTTAGGTGAAAATATAATTGAATACTCAAGAGACTTCAAGTTTTACATGACAACTCGCTTAAGGAATCCTCATTATTTTCCTGAAGTGGCTGTGAAAGTTTGTCTACTCAACTTCATGATTACACCACTAGGTCTTCAGGACCAACTTCTTGGAATTGTAGCTGCAAAGGAAAAGCCTGAGCTGGAAGAAAAGAAAAATAAACTGATCATAGAAAGTGCGGCCAACAAGAAACAGCTGAAGGAGATAGAAGATAAAATCCTTGAGGTTCTTTCCAAGTCAGAAGGAAACATCTTAGAAGATGAAACAGCAATTAAGGTTTTGTCTTCATCCAAAGAGCTATCTGAAGAAATCTCTGAAAAGCAGGAAATTGCATCTGTAACTGAAATGCAGATAGATGCTACTCGAATGGGTTACAAGCCAGTAGCTGTTCATTCAGCAACTCTCTTCTTCTGCATTTCTGATCTGGCAAACATTGAACCTATGTACCAGTATTCATTAATTTGGTTCATTAACTTGTACATTCAATCCATTGCTAATAGCAAAAAGAGTGATGATCTAAAGGAGAGAATTGAGAATATAATTGAACATTTCACAGTAAGCATCTACAATAATGTCTGCCGTTCACTGTTTGAGAAGGATAAACTGCTATTCTCCCTCCTCCTGACTATAGGAATAATGAAAGGAGAAGATAAAATAGATGATGAGGTTTGGCGGTTCCTATTGACAGGAGGTGTTGCTCTTGATAACCCTTACCTCAACCCAGCCCCAGAGTGGTTGACTGACAAATCATGGGCTGAGATTGTACGTGCATCTAGTCTAAAAAACCTTCATGGACTGATGGATCATGTAAGGGAGAATGTTTCAAAGTGGAAAATGATTTATGACTCTGCAAAGCCCCAGGAAGAGGCATTCCCAGATGTATGGAAGACATTAGTAGGGCTAGATCATATGATCATTCTAAGGTGTTTAAGACCTGATAAAATCATTCCAGCAACGCAGGATTTCATCACAGAAAATATGGGAAGAACTTATATAGAACCACCCACTTTTGACCTTGCGGGAAGTTACAATGATTCCAATTGCTGTGCACCTTTGATTTTTGTATTATCACCAGGTGCTGATCCTATGGCAGGTGAGGTTAAAAAAAGATTTTAAATTGAAATCTTTGCATGATAACATGTGGGCTCCTTCATTTAAATAGTCCCTTTATCGTACAATAAATTAATTGTAGTAGTAGTAGCTTTGAATTTCAAACATTCTTATCCTTCCTTTATCGTGTCCTTTATCTTGTAAAAACACCTCATGAAAACACACCAAAATAGGGGCAGAAAATGGGGAAAATAAATTATAATTATAATGCTGATTAAATGAATAAATCTCCGATCTTCAGGGGTTTAACAAGATTTAGATTCCAAGCCAGATTCTTATTTATACTAAGGCCCTTTTACACCACTCTTTAACTTGGGAGTAATTTACATCTAAAAACAGCAACTGTCTGGGAGATTCAGTCACATACACCACCTGACTACTTTTACCTTTCTTTCTTTTTTAATTGACTAGAATGCAGATTACCATTTGTACCTTTAATCGTGTTTCTGATTATATAAATGACATACGCAACATGGATCTATTTGCTAAAAGATTTTGTGTGCGTTATATTTTCTATAATAGGTTTGCTAAAGTTTGCTGATGATCTTGGCATGGGAGGTACAAGCATTCAGACTATTTCACTTGGCCAGGGCCAGGGTCCAATAGCAGCAAAAATGATATGTCAGGCTATCATTGATGGAACTTGGGTAGTGTTACAAAACTGCCATCTTGCAACCAGCTGGATGCCTGCTTTGGAGAAAATCTGTGAAGAAACGATAGTGCCTGAGACTACCCATGAAAAATTCAGGTAGAAGCTTTAATATTCTTCCATTTTCTGTGGGATTACTTCCAATATAAATTAGGACTGCTAGTAAAAAGGTTATATGAATAATTATCACATTAGAATATTTAAAGATCATTGAGAAAATAGCAATATGTAATCGAGACTCCATCTTTTCTATAAAAAGAACAGGCGTACTTGTGGCACCTTAGAGTGCTCAAACAAATTTATTTGAGCATAAGCTTTCGTGGGCTACAGCCCACTTCATCGGATGCATGAGCTTATGCTCAAATAAATTTGTTAGTCTCTAAGATGCCACAAGTACTCCTGTTCTTTTTGCAGATACAGACTAACATGGCTGCTACTCTGAAACCCATCTTTTCTATGTAGATATTCAATTTATCTAAACACCTGTTTCTAAAAATATATTTAGATTGCAATTGACTCTTATATTAATAAAGTTTAAAACTGATGCAGTTCAAGACTGAGGATATGTAATCAAATATGTTTCTGTCTTTACCCTGTTCAGATTATGGTTAACCAGTTATCCGTCAGAAAAGTTTCCTGTCAGTATTCTCCAGAATGGCATCAAAATGACCAATGAACCTCCTAAAGGGGTTAGAGCAAACCTCCTACGATCGTACCTCAATGACCCAGTGTCTGATCCTGCATTCTTTACTAGTTGCCAAAAACAAGAAATGTGGCAAAAATTGCTCTTTGGACTTTGCTTTTTCCATGCCCTGGTTCAAGAAAGGAAAAATTTTGGCCCATTGGGTAAGATTTGGATCATTTTGCAGATTTTCTAAAAAGCATTAGCAGTTTTGCAATATGTTACTTCAGTCTTGCCTTCAGAACGCCAACCAGAAGCATTACCTCCAGCATTGTGACAAGAGGATGGTCATGTTATCTGATGATGGCTGGGAATTTTTGTGTGTCAGCATTGCATAGAATATAGTGAAGCAACATTGAAAAGCTATTTTGAGGTTTTGGGCTGTATAAATACACACAGGTTCGACTCCTGAGGTTCTTATTCAGACAAAACTGCTATGGAAGTCACTGGGAGCTTGCAAAGTAAACATAGTATGTATTTATATTGTCATAAATTGCTGTGTTATTGTTGTTATTATTATTTTATTACATTTCTACATAAAAACTATTTGTTTGTCAAAAACAAGTCCTATTCAAGTTTTAATTTTAAATGATTTACCTTTTTTATTAATAAAAATTGAATTTTACTCAGATTATTTTTTTTACTTTTTTTATCGAGCAAAGCTAGTACACGTGTTCCTTTAGTGTAGCATTTGAATTTATTTAGCTGCAGTTAATTGGCCATACAATGAAAATTTCTAAAAGCATAACATATATAAGAATTTGATTTGTGTTTCATTTTTTGTAAATAAGTCTTACATGACCAACAAATATGGTGTGGAATTAAAAGTTGTTTTTAAAAATCTTTAGGGACAAACTCAGATGTCATATACTCCATTGACTTACATGGAGTTCTGCCCGCTTACACCAAGTCTGAACTTGGCATGCACATTGTATGCTTAACACAGCATTGCTAACGTATCATACAAATTAATCATTCTATACACACAATCTACTCACCCACCTGATCATGCAGCTGATGATAAAAGAAAAATATTTGACTTGTCTGTCAGAGAAAGATACCTGTCCTGGATGACTAAGCGGGTACAGTTTTGCAAGGTTGGTTTGAGATATAGTGACATACTGACTATGTTTTATTCAGATCAGAGTTATTCAAAATGATCACCATTAAAAAGACAACATCTGCCAAGAGTTTATCTTACATGTTACCATTTCCCTATACTTAGGATATGAAATAACTTCCATATCTTTGATACCACTATGTGATATGTAGTAATTCTTGTTAAACATTATCTTTTTAGTAGCAACCACTGTACCTATTTAAATGCACAGCAGTTAGATTGCTAGAAGGAGGATATTTGTTTATTGGTAAAAAGTAAAAAGTATAAGTTCAGTCAGTCACAAAGGTTAAAAAATTGAAATCAGTCGGAATTCCTATGGTCTTGCTAACCAGCTGATTTCAGATCAGCTAAAGCACTGTACATCTATTAGAATACAGCTTTTCAGTTGTGAGCAATGTCAAAATGTCAGGACCTATGGGCACATCTTTAATTATTTGGAATGCAGTAAGTAAGTATATAATGTTGCACTGGGATAGGATGTTGTTAAGGATAGCTATCTCGAACTTGGGCAGTAAAAACTCAGGCAGATGCCTAAGCTTCACTGCGTAGTTATCTAGTGGCAGGAGACTGTTATTCTGTAATGACGACTTCATACCAATGTCATTATTTCCTAAGCATAGTTATCAGGACAATATACCACTGCATCACATGTCTTTTTTTAATTGAACAGGTTGGAATATTCCATATGAATTCAATGAATCTGATCTTAGAATCAGTATGCGACAGATCCAGATGTTTCTGAATGAGTATGAAGAAATCCCATTTGAAGCTCTGACCTATCTAACAGGTATAGAAGTTGCACTCTGTAATGTATATAGACTGGTGGGTATTATATAAAAATAACTTCAGGTGATGAATAATAACATCATAATTACAATGATGGTCCTTGATAAATGGGATAGATTCCATTTAGTTATTCTTTCTTGCCCTTCTCCCTCCCCCCAGCCAAGCAGTTTATACCCCCAGGCATAAGATTTGAGTAACTAGATCATTGTTGTAGTTTGCATAGCTAGAAAGGTTACTCGTGGTCCAGAAAAACTCCTTGGCTTTGATTAACATTTGTCAAACAAAAGCATCAATGGCATCTCTGTCACCTTGGCTGACCAATACATCAAAGCATGACATATTCAGAGCTGGAGATTTGCCAGGGAGTGTGATAATCCCCCCTCCTCGTAAGGTATTGGGGATTGCCCTGTGCCTTGTGAATAGTTAATATAATATTTTGTGGTAGTCAGTCACCTACACATTGCTCATTCTTCAGCTAGAGGCCTGCTCATGGACACCTCTCAACCTCCAAAACATGATTTCATGCTTCTTTGCAGTGAATAGAGAATTTAGTTACATGAAAAGTAATATTGGGATAGTATTATGGAGAGAAGATATGAAAATAAACTTGTTTAATGTAACAGGTGTGACTGCTTGTCTGTCTCCCCACTTTGTACCTATGCTGTTATTTCCTCTTCCTTTATATAAAAGTTTCTATTCTCTTAGAACCAAATCGCTCTTCATTGCCTGCAGCTCCCACTGTTCTAATCTCTCCAGGTCCTTTTGCAGAGTGGTTCTGTCTTCTTGCTTGTTTATGTCTCTACAGTTTTGTCATCGTGCACAAATAGAGTTAGGGTTGAGTTTATACCAAAGACAGGAAGGAGTTATATAGGGCTTAGAGAAGTGCTTAGTTTTTGGAGTTTAGCTGGTCAGATAAAGCCTCTGGAAAATGGAAAGGCCAAAAGAGCCCCAAAGAGGGGTTTCAGTTAGCAGGAAGCATTACTGCTTGAAGCATGACATGATTCATCATTGTGAGGGAAGGAGTTTCCCAGACCAGCTGGAAGTGCCCCCCCACCATTTATGGCCAAGAGATCACAGCTTGAGCAACACTGGGTTAGTTAGTTCCTGTCATGGTTTTCAGCTTACCAGAGGAATTCTTGAATGTAAGCCATTTTTATTACGTCTTTATAAATAACCATTCAATCTTTCAGCCTTGTTTTCTGTTTAATTTCCCAGGGGAATGTAACTATGGTGGGAGAGTAACAGACGACAAAGACAGGCGTCTTCTTCTGTCACTTCTTTCCATAGTCTATAATAAAGATATAGAACAGGAGAAGTATAAACTTTCACCTGGGGATGACTACTACATACCACCACATGGACCATACCAGGTAGGGAAATAAAGGACAGAAATTTCTTCTAAGAAGTCATTGAGTTTATATGTGAACTTTTAAGAATAATATTCTCAGAGTACACTGCTGTGTATTACTGTGTCCAGGAAACAAAAAAAATGTAAGATCATAAAGAGTGTCAGAATGTATCTCTGTATACACAGAATACAGACTCACCAGTCTTGAACTGGTTTCAGAGTAGCAGCCGTGTTAGTCTGTATCCGCAAAAAGAACAGGAGTACTTGTGGTACCTTAGAGACTAACAAATTTATTTGAGCATAAGCTTTCGTGGGCTACAGCCCACTTCATCAGATACATAGAATGGAACATATAGTAAGGAGATATATATACACATACAGAGAACATGAAAAGGTGGGAGTTGCCTTACCAACTCTAAGAGGCTAATTAATTAAGATGAGCAATTA